AGTAAGCACACCCTAGAATTACACTCCTGTTTTTTCCCCGATGCGCTTATACAACTCTTCTTCACAAAGACAGTTGGAGAATGGGGAAGGTATATGATACGTAGATAGGGGATGACTTCAACTGCAGTTTGTATATTCTCAAAAGCTCAACTCAGATAGTTTGGAATTCGTAGAAATTTATGTTTTCTAGTTGGACGAAACACCTGAAAAATACTATTAACCAAATATTTCCTGATAACCAGCGAAGTCGCAAACTATGGTTATTGACATATCGCACGTTGTGCAATGTACTTACAATGTGAGTTTCCATTGGACTTAACCATTTCCTTGAGGTTCTCCCACTGTCTTTCTCGAGATCGGGGGGTTTGATGAATCTTCATTATAGTGTGTCATATTTCCATGGAACTTACATGGAAAGATACAAACACAGATACTTCTATCATTCCGAAATTATATTTTTTCAAAACGATCGTAAACAAAAGATTATTTTTGGTAAATAGGCAATGAAACCACGCATCACTGATTTGCTTTGATTGGCATCACTTGAAGGAATTCAAAATGAGTTAAACGCGGGAAAGCTCGTTTTGTTTTTTCTATGAATTTGTGTCCGGGAAATGCAAACGCTCAAAAAATGTGATAGGGAAAATGAAGTTCGAAGTATGTATATATCTAAATAATCTGTTAATATTTTCGGACCTGAAATCAACCACTTTTCTCAACCACTATTTCAAGTTGCGACACTATCAAAGCAAAGCACTGAAAGTCCTTTCGTCACGTATACGCTCGCAATGTTGCAGGAATGTCTTACGTTATCTCTTTCTTATCTATTCCAGGTATTTGTTCGGCAATCGTTTCTTTTTCAGTTATATTCTTTTACCCTAAAAATTAATAAAATAATTGCATAAAACAAGGTGCGGCGGCTTATTGAGAGTCAAAGAGATTACAATACCATCAACTGATGTCACTGAGTGCCTCTGACAGGGAGTTCCTGGGGTTTTAATCCCGATGGTGGCAGAATTTTCGTCCCTAGCTTGTCTGCCAGGACGCATTAGGCCGCTGGCTGAAGGAGAATTCTAGTGGCCGGCTGCTCTGATCGGTTGTTTTCCATGGTTTCTTGGATCAACACAACCGGCAAACGCCGGAGCAGCTCCCTAACAAAAGGAGGACATGCACAGCGCACGATCTTTCCTTTCTCTTCCTTGTCTTATCCTCACCCATTACACTTATGGGCGCTACACTTCCACGCATGTCGGGCGAGCGGTCGGACGCCTAGGTCTTGCCGGGCAGGAGCGGTGCTACGCTGGCGAAAGGTACCTGGTGGATGAAATCCCTCACGTCGACGCAGGTTGGCACCGGATTTCCCCAGCCAGCAGGGGAATATTACCACCCCCTCCCGCAATAAAACAAGGCACTACACTTTCGGGACAAAGGACCTTAGCAGTCGAAACGCTCAGAACCACTAATAATTCAATCAGGTAATAAAATACATCATTTAGAGCGACGAGCTTTTGGGGATGAAAATAACACGGCACCATTTGCCGAAAGCAACTATCTTAACTGCTTCTCAGCACGGGGGTGAGTAGCCTAATATAGAGGAGTTACTCTGAGAACGGATCACTCTGACAGGTCTGGAAACGAATGTCATGCAGGGCGACGACGTTGCAAGTTATAATGATAAAGTCATTTACAAATGAGCTAACTGGAAACGAACGCACTAACAAAATGAGAGCATGGACGTAACTTGCAGTTACATTGTCAACAATGGCCGAACAGTAGCTGTCAAAGAGGTCTCTTCGTGTAGTATTTTCTCTATTCAAGGGGTGGTACAAATACAGTTATGAGCGCCGTTTTCTATTAACAAATTGTATTTGTAAATGATTTATATGAATTTGAATGAACACATTTTACTTTGAATAAAACATACAACGATAATGAAAACTTTAATGATAATGGCAATAATTATATTTGAATGATGAATAATTTACAGAAGTCTTGGAGAGCCTCTTCTGCAAGTGTCATATAACAACTCCCCACGTGAGGTTAGAACATGGGAAAACCAGAGGTTAAATATATTCACGGAAATAAAATTACTCGTTACGTAAGGCAACAGTGCCGTATCCAAAATTTTCAAGGGGGCCTCGGCCCCCGTGGGCCCCCTGAGCGCTCGCCTGTGCTTCTCAGAGTTCTCTCATCGTGCCTCATTAAGCCAGCGTGCATCTGGCAGGAACTCGGAGCGCAGGGAGAGGGCGCTCTTGACATCAAGGGGGCCGTGCGGGGGGGGGGGGCGAAGGCGATTACGTGAAGAGGAAGACGAGATGCGATTTGCGACAGCGGCCTTGGCGAGAGCGGTGCCGCCAATCGCGCCCTCCTCCCCCCCCCGGCCCCTGCTGTCCTGCGCAGGGGAAGTGAGCGCAGCGGCGGAACAGCGGCGCCGAATATCGTAAACGCAGCACATACTTTCTCATGTTCATTAAAACGGCTATGAAACATTAGCAACAACGTTAGAGACTTCCTACCAGCAGAATGATCCCTGTTTATCGCAAGTACAGGGTAAGTGAGCCCAGTAGCGGTAGTTACATCGAATAGAGTAAAAACAGCACATACTTTCTGATAGTAATCAAAACATAAATATTAGCAACAACATTAGAAACCTCCTTACTGCAGACTGATCCTTATTTATCGAAAGTAGAGGGTAAGTGTGCTCAGCATCGGAACTGTTACACTTAGCAATGTAAATTAGCACAGACGTTCTCATATTAACCCTTATCTTCCTAACGTGCTCGTATGGGCACGCTCTACGAAGCTGTAGATAATTTAAACTTTCACCTTAAAATGTCGCAGTAATGCAATTACAACTTCATCTTCTTTTCCACCACATTCTAAAAGGTGTTACCATGAGCATGACCAACAAATTTTGAGGGAAAACAATTTAATAATTTTTTAAAATTTATGAAATAGTGTAATACATTTTTTCAAACTAATTCAGACAGATAAGGGTTAATTGTAAGTGTGTCCACAACGTAACTTTAACGTCCAGTAGGGTGGAAACGGCTCATTCTTTCTCATATTAACTGTTTATGGTTAAGTAATACACCATTGGAAACTTCCAACCCGGTGATTGATTTTGGTTTTTATCAAAAGTACAAAGGAAGTGTGCCCAACAGTGAAACGAACACCTAGTGGGGTAAACATAGTACATGCTTTCTCGTATTAATTCTAACAGTTATTAAATATTATCAACATTAGAAACTGCCTTCCAGCTGACTGATCCCTGTTTATCGAAAGTATCGAAAAAAATGCACATAACGCTACTTGCATTCACGAAAGCGCAAAACATATCTATCCCATTGTAGTCAGTTTTGCATTCCATCACGTAACCTTAGGTAAGAACAGCAGAACGTGCCTTTTGAGTGTTTCGACTACGATCTTGAAGCTATTTAAATGATGTGTACAACTAACTCTGCATTCGTACTCGCTCTTATTTCTAAATATTTGTAACTGACATAATTCTCCTCATCCCTTTCCGTGAGTCATTTTCGTCACATAGCGTACAATTGTTTATTAACGTATTTTATTAATCATTATTATTCCATTATATATTTTATGTTGAGTAATGTATACTTTTCTTCTACTTTAATTATATTATAATTATTTTTTACTTTTCTTAGTCAATTTATTTTAAACGATGGCTTCCTGGAACCAGCGGATCCAACCTACGGATCACCTGAGGTCTTCGGGCCACTCCCTGAGAAATATTGCCCTAGGACAGAGCTACAAAACGTGTGGCATTTGCAAAGTTCTAAAAGGAGCTTTTCCACAAGGAATTTTCACCAGAGGCGATTACTTCCAGTAGTAGCATGTTTGCGTTCAAACCAAAGAATAGATCAACCCTCATTTTTTGTCAAACTATGTCAAGTCTTCCATTCGAAAGACAGACTGATTCAGGTATAATTCTAGTTGTTGCATTTAGAATGCAGCACCAAACAGGCCAGTAACGCGAGAGACTAGTCCATCAACTCGTGACACAGAATACTATTCCACATTATCTCAGATTGAGTTTACACCGGAGTGGCTCACTCTGGTTCTAACCGTTTCAATTACACTCATAGCCCATGATCTCATCAGAGTTTCCATGCAGTAACTGCGTAGAATTATCCGCATGTGGATGACAAGCCCGTTGGCCAACTCCGAATTCGACCGACTCGCCGCCAAGGGAGATGACCACGCGCGGGCCGCCAGAAGAGGGCTGCGGTCTAAGAAGGGCTTGGGTATTCATGATGTAGTCAAATTGGGCTCAGCAACGTGTGGTCGTTTCATAAACGTTTTACTGTTATTTATGATAATGAACAAATAAAGAAAGTTGAATATCCAGACTAGCATTGTTCATCCTACAAACATTCAAGAAAATTATCGCTTTATGCCCTCTTTGACGGTCTGGGCGCTACTCGTCCCGTTCAAATGAGGTGGGAGTTCTTGGCAGCATTCAAACGCAGGAGAGAGAACAGATGTGCCGGACGGACGGGTTTGCTAACTGAGATTTAGGTGCCCACCACATTTTTTGTGAATCTCTTCACTCACTTAATATTGTGAGCCACGAACTTTTGAAGTCACTTGTGGACATTTGTTTCGTCCACTGTTCGTCCGATAGCAAGCCTGGCGTGACGTGGCAAAGGCTGGCGTGGCTTGGTTTGATAAGGAGAGGCAGACTAGGCCTTCTAAAGCGACGCAGTGCAGAGTTGCTGTACAGCGTTCGGAAGAAACTCATTAGTACCATTTTGCCATTGACTCGTGTTGATTCTTAGAGTTACATGAAGTTGGTGCTTCCAGAGCAGAAATGCAGTAATTATATGATAATTAAAACGAGTTAATGATAATGTGGTCGTATGATTTTCAGTCTCTGCATACATGATCATATGTTTTGTTCCTGCTGTTTTGGTCCAGCTGCGGATTTGAAAAGCAGATTCATATTGTTCAGGCAGAAAAAATTAAGTAATATCTGATATTGTGCATTCCTTTTTGTATTTTTGCTTGTATTTACAGTGATAACAAAAATATAACCACATTGATTATTTGAACATTGAAAAATGCAGTGTACATAAAAAATACTTTCTAAATTCAACACTCATACACAATATTCACTTTCAGGTATAATTCAACGGCATATTATAATGCTGCCTTCTATTTAGTGCAAACAGCATTTGTCGATTTCACATACACACATGCAATCGGCACTCGGAAACAGCGGAAGATTTCGCCGTAGCCGTTTGGAAGTGGTGTAATACGATATGATTTGCAATATGAGAGACCCTGGGTCAGATTGTTAGGGTGTTTCTCAGTCACAAGCAATCACTAGATAATTTGGGTGTAATAAAAAGTTCATAAATAAGAGACACTATTATAATAATATTTTATAATGAAATATGAAAATATATTATTTTTATGATTACTATAGTCCAATAAAACTATTAAAATTCGATGTTTACAAAGTTTTAAATGTATAAAGAATAACACATTTACATAATATTTCAAATTTAAAGTATATATGTGAATTGCATTATCTTCCCATTGTTATAGTACTTCGGATGACTACTGTTTCTGTAAACATACAATTCAAACCCCTTTCAGGAAGCTCTTAATTGTAAATTATATTTATGTTACTAATCGTAAAATATTTTCGTAATTGCATTGGTTTTAGATAAAAAATTAAATCAGAACTTACGCAACATGGAATTTCGAATGGTTCACTAGAGTTACCTGACTGAATCTACGTTCACATGACGCTATAAAACAATTTCAACATTCTTTCCACACATTTCAGACATCAAATTGCAATTTTATATAATATTTTTTTTAATATTATGAGAAATATTTAGTTAAAAGCTTACATTTTTCGGTGTAAAGTGATTTTTACTCGTGAAAATTGTCATCCATGTACTGCTTACGTTGTCAACAAGCGTTTCACGCCTGGAAAATCATCTGTTTTTCTCTCTGATCCCACGAAAAATATTACTAATTTGCTCTGTATTTTCACGAAAATTCAGCAGCTGCCTCTTTCTTGAGTTTCACGAGGCGCTCCTCATCTTTCTCCCTTCTCGCCATCTTGCGATGTATTTGGGTGCCCCTCTCGTCGGCCTCAGGCAAAAGTGAACAATTGCGAGACCTTTTTATTTTAATATTAATTTCTCCTGAGGGAATAACTCCTTCGTCAAATAGATAAATTTTATATTAACTATTTGCGAAAAGTGGACGATATATTTACATTTCGAAGACACATAATATCTTTATTTTTATTTAATCGTTTAATTGACAGCGCCTATCGGATAAGAACGGGATATAAAACAAATTACACCCTTTTTCAAACATCAGATAATAATATTATCAATTTTCATTTCATCAATTCTTAAATGTTTATAAGTAGCATGATAATGAAAAGTGACCAATATTTCCTGTGTGAAAATTGCCTTTTGCTAAGAATTTGCACAACAAACTTATCACGCGTATCACATTATATACGTGTTTTGATTATTTTGTATGAAGTGTGTATGTTTACGGTGCAGAGTCTTGTTCACTGAGTAAGAAGCAAGAGGAAGGTTTGTGATATTCAAGATGTGGCCATGAGAAAAATGGAGAAAATAATTTGCATGAAAAAGGTACTGAGGAAATGCTGAAAAAAATTCGTGAAGAAAGAGAGAAAGGAAGACTGTATTGCTGGTCATTTAAACATGAAAAATGTATATGACAGACGCCTGCTTGTGAAGGCAATGTTCAGTAAATAAAACGATAGGGAAGAAATAACAGGGGAACAAAGGGTATTCCAGTTGTTGAACAATGTAATAGTTAATGGATACTACTGCAAGACTGACAAAAGGAAAGCGTGTTAGATGCATGCGGGAACCTGCCAACAGGCAGAACTCTGATGAAGATGATGATGATGATGGTAATGATATTGGCAATGATATTAGCGACGCATATAGTGATGTCGATTATGATGATAGTGATGTGTGCGTGCTCTAGTGACGCTACGATTTTCAATGCTTTCACCATTGGCTGGGCCTGGCTCGTTCTCTACGTCCCATCACCATGGTACCTACCTTGTTCCTTCATCCCATCGCTGGATGTGGCCCGCAGGTTCTTACAATCAATGCGTCCATGCCACGCCACACTTTACAAGCGTGACCCGCGGGCCTCTGTGGGCTCAGTTGGACATTAGCGAGATGGGGAGGAACATGGTCGCACCCACGATGCAATGGCAGGGTGAGCAGCTCCGGTGCACCGAATTTTTCCTGGTTCTGCGCAGCACCAGAAACATTGTGAATCACGTGCGCCCAACTCGGACGCTTTGTTTGAAAAGCGGGAGCAGACGTTGGCCGCCATTTTGTATGCAGAGCAAGAAGAATGGAGAAGCATTTTGAAAAGGGCATAAAGTAACAATTTTCAACTGTTATCAACCAACAATAATACGATGAAGATGTATTTAAAGTAAAAGATGCAATATTGAAAAAGAGCTTCATATAGCTGTTTCAAGAACTTGTAACAAGGTGATATTTTTGGAGTGTGGATGCATTTAAAATTGCCGCTAAAATTGTGACTGAGCAAACTGGTACATGAAGCTCATTAGCCGAAGCCGGTTAGGCTGCACAGTGGCTCCCCCATGCCATTGCACCACAGTCGCGCCTTGCTAGTGCTGGCTGTGGACGTAAGCCTGTACTGCACGCGACCTGGCGGCGCCGGCCCCAAACTGTTCCCAGCAGGGAGACATCAACTTCTGGAATGGGCTCTGTTAGGTGCAATGCGTATGTCGCAAACACGTCGTCACCTTCACGCTATCCGGACAGGCCAGGAACGATAGGATGCGATGGGGAAGATTATGCTTGGCGGGGTGGACACCCACAAGGGTAAACATCCATACTCAAGCGAGATTCGAACCCACGGCCCTTCTGACGGAAATTCCCACGGCGATTTCGCCGGGGGCGACTGATAATAATGATCCTGTTGATGCTGACTATTATGAAGTAAATGGTAGTGACGATGATGAAATTGGTGACGAAAGAGTGACGTGGTCATGATAATGATGTTTCTGATGCTGTTATGTGTTTCGTAAAATCTGTTCACTAATCCCTTTCCTTGTGAATCCTAAGTCAGTTCTGTCCCATTCGCTTCTGACATCGCTAGACAACCACCCTTCCCCAACACAATGCTGCCCATGGACTGCTGTGAAGCCGTCTCTCCCCTCGCCTCCACTATTGTGGGACGCGGTACTCGCTCTGCAGAAGACGAGGTTAATGGTTCATATAATTATGATTATTAAAAACAACCATGATGATAATGGCAAGGCCGCATGTATCTACTTGTTTTGCTTATAGTGAAGCAAAATAAGCAGTTTTTAGCCACGGGACGTCCCTCGTCATGCAATATTCGAACAAAAAATTATAAAATATGTATTTGTGAAATAATTGATGTCCAAAATAGTGAACTGTACTAAAAAGTTTGTACTTAAAAAAATATTTTCTAAAATATTACATTTTTAGTTAAATGGAGGAAGAAACCTACCGTAGACAGGCCAAAACTGCTTGTGCATGGGAGTCCACAGTACCTAAATCCGACCCTGGTGACAACGGAAATGGTATTGTTGGTGATAATGAGGGTGATACGTTTTATAATTGCTGCGCGCCGTCCTTTTCCTTGCGATTCCTGAGTCGGTTCTCCCCTCCCCCCCGGGGGGGGGGGGGCGTCTGCCGCCGGCGCCTCCGCCAGCGGCTCCGGCCCCGCCCTCACTCGCGCTCCAGGAAGCGCAGGCGGAGCGTCTCCCGCGGGGCGAGGTAGAAGGCGGAGTTGAGGTCGTGCGAGACGGCGCGCGGGGTGTCTGGGCGCGGCTCCAGTCGGTAGTCGCGCAGCACCGTCGCCAGCGCCAGCTTCATCACCGTCGTCGCGTAGCGCTGCCCTGCAACACCGCGCGCCGCCGCCTCAGTTCACGCTGCGCCGACTGCGCTTCCATCAAAGTTTAGGACAAGAAGTTCGCTCAAAAATTAAGTTTGCTAACACGTACAGTTTCCGATGAAAAATTGTGTAAAGAAATGAACACGTTTTGCGTACTATACTACTCATAGATGTACGCTGCCTAAAATATGAGGGTACCCAAATACATTTCTGAACCACTCTGTCCCCTTTTTCTATTAAAAAGTTACTAATAATTTATTTTACTAATAAATACATAAATATAATAGGAGAATGAAATAATTTTAATGTTACAATAAAAATACAATAGGTTTAATGTTGAACCATTTTCCTGTTTGCCAGGTGGTTTGATAAGTCTTTCACAAATGTCATGTACCGATTCTCCGAATTGTATGCGTAAAAAAAGGCTGAAAATTAGGAGTTGATCATATTTATAGAAATAGAATGTTATAGTGTGTTGGATCACGGGACCTCTCTCGAAATTTTCAAGAGGCCATGGCCCACCTGCCCCCCCCCCCCCATGCGGTCGCCTATGCATAAACTCAAAGAAAATTGTGTGACTATTGCTCTAAAGTGATGAGTAGCAAATGACAAAGAAGAATTTATTCACACATCAATCAATTCTAGACGCCTGTCAGCAAAGATGACTGAATTCTCCCTTAAGTGCAATTAACGATGAGTTGATGTTTTTCTTTCGATAGTCAAATAAGGCTTCATCAGCGAATTCGGCCTTCGACGCGGCGTCACCCGGACAGTGCAGATCATCAATGATTAAATAATTTTACTCTGCGAATAATGAAATATTTTTATTCTGATGATGCAAATTTAATAAGAAAACAACTTATTACTTTTTTCGAACATATCAAATACCACCATTATTGAATCTAGTCATTTTTATCAAAATGCATTGTAGTCTTCAATGTATTAGATGTTTAAAACAATTGGAGAAGAGGTGCTCCAAAGTATGAGTCGTGTTCGTATAATTTTGAGTTAAATAATGATATTTTTCCAAAATTCACAAAATCTTTTTTTCTCGAAATTTGCTACAATTATTTTCTTTACACTTTTTGTGATGATGGAACACAATATTTTGAATTATTTTGCTCAAGTGCCTTTGTCTATAACAATTTTGAATTTCAAAACTTAAAGAATGTTTTAAAGAAATATCTGAAAATTGAGTACATTTCCGAACCTCCGGAATTTGGTTAAAATGGAAAATTTCATCGTATTTAGTGAAAATAGCTTTTCGAGAAACGGTTGAAATATTCGAAGAATAAAAGTACTATTACATAACAATTACAAGAAAGAATTTTCTTTTGTGCTACCAATAGTTTATTCTGATATTATTGTTGTTGTGTTGTAAAGCTAGTTTCTTCATTTAACTTTCCGGGCTGCCAAATATATCACGGAGACCGAAAATTCAACCTAATGTGTGGAACTGTAAAGAGGACTTTAAAGAACAAAACCAGAAAATACATATAGATCAAATTGTACAAAACTAAGGCAATGCCGGTAGGGTTGTACGGGAGCGAAACATGGACTATGCCAGCCAAAGACAGAGTTAAAATGAAAGCTACCAAAATACGTCTTCTTATAGGAATTGCAGAGGTCTTCAAATTAGATTACATAAAAAATAAAGTGGTAAGAGATAGTCTGCAAGTTCGCAATGTTTTTGAAAATATAGATGAATACAGACATAAAGTTTTAAGCCATGAACTGTCAATGGATGACGGCAGAATGCCAAAAAGCACAACTGACTTCCAACCTTGAGGGAAACGATATGCGGGACGTTCAGTCAAAAAAGATCGTGTCAGCAGTTGAACGTGCATCTGGGGCTAAAAACTGAACTTAGAAGATCCTTTTGCTGTTACTGAAAGTTTTATGAACATTCCTACTTATTTTTTCTAATTGTTGGATTTTCGTTGAATTCGTTCATCTGTTCAATTAACCCTTTCATTACAATCAATGGCTGGAGCCAAGGAGCAAGTGTTCCAAACTAATCCACACGAGCGCTCTCGATTGTGAGTGACATTTCCTTGTTCGGCTTGGCCCGACCGCACTTCTATTAGGCGAGTCGGAGACTAGCAGTTCCGAGGATCGGACTTCAGACTTATGATCTCCAGTATACCAAAGATGTACAGCTTTTTACCCAATGCCTGTAGTTTTCTTTTTTGAAATTGGTACACTGATGTCGATATTTTTTCTGAGAGATTCAAATATATCGCATAATTTACGTGTATTTAATAATGAAAATTATTTAAATTAAGTGAAAAACGTATTATTATAACATAGAACATTCATTATCTATTAATTATTTTAGTGCGCAGTCAATCACTCCATTTCTGAAACTATAAATACAGATGTCAGAATGAGATATAGTTATTTGATGTTTTGAAGCTCTACTAAAACGCCAATAGCAATACTGGAATATTTTATACAATTTTGTTTTAATATAGGTTATGGCCTTCTAATACATTGCAATGTCAAAGTTTCTTAATTTCTGTTTCAGAGAGCTGATATGCTCTTTGGTAGATCATTTTTCATTATTTCACTTGTGTAAGTGTATTACATAGTATATTTTTGCCGGAGAAGAATCATTGAAAGGAGATGGCGCACCCTTGGCATAAACAAGAACTCGTTCCCAACATTCTGCGACTGGGGGAGACTTCCGTATCGTTGAAGGAATAATAAGGGATGTAAAAGACAACAAGTAAAATCGAACTCATACAATTTAAATGAGAAAGGAGGGAACCTCTTATAAACTGAAGAAAAAAGAGGTTAAATTTAAATTAAAGTAAATCCAAGGATAAAGCGGAAGGAGATGGTTTTCCAGGGAGTGTGCTTAATACTTTCCTTCTGACTTTAGAGAATATGCACTCTGTTCAATATCAATTTTCCTTCTGAATTTAGACAATATTTGCCTTTAAGTTTATTACAATTATATTTTGGATAAAATAGAAATATTAGAAAAGTAATAACTGGAAATATTTGAGGTTCAATGAAAGCTGCAGAACTATAGAGAAATAGAAGTAATGAGTAAATATACCAGAATTAAGAAAAAATATTGTTAACTATAAGATAAAGGCTATTGATATTTGTGATCATTTGTGTAGAATGAATGACAGTAGACTGACGAAATAGAATTTCACATAAATATGAGAGAAGAAGTAATGAAGAGCGTATATATAAGAGGTTAAAACATTTTGAAAAGGTACCAAAGATAGGTTTATAAAGAAACTATGTAAAGAGAAATATTTAGAAATAAGTATCTAAAAATGCTATGATTTCAAGGCACAAGAAAAAAACGTCATTAAGAGGTCTGAAGGGAGAAAGAAGAGAAAAGAAACAATGAAAGTATGAATGAGCATTGAAAACGAAAAGAAAGTATCTAAAGCATAGGAATTGAAATTGACGGGTGAACCTTACTAGCATTAGCGGAAAGTAAAAACAAAGAAGAAGGAGAAAAATACGAATGCGAAGGCAACGACTCTGAAGAAGAAGAAAGAGGAGGAGAGGCAGGAGGAGGAGGAGGAGGAAGAAGAGGAGGAGGAGGGGAAGGCAGAGAGAAAGGTGGGAGAAGGAGCAGGTGGAGGAGGAGGAGGAAATGAGCATGCGCTTGCGAAGGAGGGTTTGGGGCCCACTCACCGACGCAGATGCGCGGGCCCTCCCCGAAGGGCAGGAAGGTGAACTTGGGGCGCGCGGCGCGGCGCTCCTCGTCGAAGCGCTCGGGCTCCCAGCGCTCGGGCTGCGGGTAGAAGCGCGCGTCGTGGTGCAGCGCGTGCACCGGGATGACGACGGGCGTGCCCGGCTCCAGCTGCACGCTGCCCGCGCCCGCGCCCAGCGACAGCTCGTGGCGCTGCGTGCACACGCGGTCCAGCGAGCGCAGCGGCGGGTACATGCGCAGCGTCTCTGCAGGGCGAAAAGCGGGATTTGTTTGACAACTGTCAACAGGCTGCACTCACTTATCTCTACGCGCACACACAGTCCAGCAGTGGCGGGTACAAGCCCTGCCGACATGCATTCTCAGCGACGAGGAGTCTCGCAGTGAGGTAGGGACGTGGAAACCTACTCTTTCAACATCAGATCAATCTGCATGCCGCGTGAAGCACGATTTCTTGTGAAGATTTGTGATCAGTGAATTGAATAAATAGAATGTTTTAGAATTATCAATAAAATGTATTCATGCTATGACCGCTTCTCTCTTCAGGTTCTCAAGCGTAGACCCGTATGTGCAGAGCATCTCTGTGGTCTCCGTCACAAAACTACTTCAGCTTACATTTGCCATTTCACACCTTAGCCATGCTGCTTATAAGGGAACCTTTGTTTATATAATTAACATGCCTATTAATTAACATCGAGCCGACGTTTCACACAGCTATACAAACTCAGACAATTATAATGCAAAGCTACAGCTCTATTTAGGCTCCGGCAGGATATCGACCTTGGGATCACATGGAAAGCTAGCATACTATTCAGGATCCACCCGACGGCTGATAATGTCATTTTGCAATAATGCAATTTTAATAAATTTGGAAGCTTTTTTCCGTAGGGTGCCCCAACCCGACTTTGTTCTTGTGGCTCCACAACAGCTACACACGGCCCAGCGTCGCCCGTCCTCCGTCCAGAGGCCACCTACCGCAGACGATCATGTCGATGTACTTGAGGTCCTGCGCGGTGTCGTAGTCGAGGCAGCCCTCGTGCTGGGCGAGGACGGCGTCCACCTCCGCGGCGGCACGCGCCTGGACGGCGCCGTCCAGCGCCACGTGGTACAGCGCCAGCGCCAGCGTCGTCGACGTGGGCTCGAAGCCGTCCATGAAGAACATGCACGCGTGCGCCGCCGCGTCCTCCTCCGTGAACTCTGGCAACGCCGCACAACACACCACGTCAGATAAAGGATATCGTGTATTCAATATTTAAAGGCATGTATTAGTACATATTAATTACACAGGCACACACAAAAAAGTTGTCACACCCAAAGACTTGACATATGTTTCTCTACGTATGTCGTGCTGAATCCGAATCTCAACCCTGAATCGTGCCACCGCCTTCCAGTTTGCGTTTTTCGCAAAAAATACATGCGAATACAAGATTTGGATGTCTTGTAGCCTTATATTCTACAGAATTCAAAAGTTGCCAGATCCAAGACTTGACACACGTTTACCTGGATACTTCTCACGTACGGCGATGCTCAACTGCAGGTAATCGGGATTATTGAGGCCGGATTTCTGGCGCACATCGGTCGCCTCTCGCACCACCTTGCGGAAGAACTGGGCAACGGATTCCGGCACAAATCTGGATCAAGGAAAACATTCAGTAAAAGAACTGCTAAATAAACCCTTTGTTACAATACAGAACTAGTGGATCATAGAATGGCACACACTTTTTCAATATACTAGGTTACTTTCGTTATTTCTTTAGTCTGGGCTGCCTTTACGATTTTGCATTTAATTCCTCTAAGATGCCATATATTGACATAGTTTATTCACGTTTTCTCTGTGTTTTTTGGATTCCTAAACGTAGAATTTAAATATTACTTAAAGAATATTATTGAAGGGTAAAACCTTGCCGTATACGGATATTTTCATTAAAAACTTTAGAAGAAAAAGTCGTTTGAGCGTTTCTGACAATCCGAAATTTGGGGATTATTTTTACTCAAAACTTTCACGTTTTCGAGAAACTTTATAAGAATTTATTTTAAGCAATATTACTCACAAATGTGACAATTTATAAGAATTACTTGTTGTGGAAATATTAATAACATGGTGGATATTTAAAAATACTTTTGTGTAATTAAAAAAGCATTTATGCATTATGTCATATTTATGCATCTCATTTATGTCATGTTATTCAGTAAGTTTAGATTTAACAGCATCAAACCATTTTTTTAATTGAAGAATTTTCGAGAAAATGGCATTTATACATTTCTGAATATGGGCAATTTTGAACCGATTTCCACAAAACATTTTTGATATTTGAAGAAACGTCATAATAATAATTTGAACCCCTTGTACTCGCAAATGCAATATGGTACAAATACGCCTGAATTGTAAAAATGTACGTGAGAGAAATTTCCAAAAGATACAATTGCGTAATTTCATTATAAAGTAAATGTTAACTCAGCTCAGTTGCCTCGCTCATCTGTCCTCGAACATTGAGAATTACATGATAGGTATTGATAGAAATAATGCTGTAAAACATTAAACATTTCATTACATAATTAAGTTTAACTATAATCAGTTTTATGAATTACGTTCACAGGGTCCCCGTTATTCCTGATAAAAAAAGTGAAATCGCAGTAATTTACGCCATTTCACCACTGAAGGTGCTTTGAAACCTCCAAAATACTTTTTCTAGAATTCTTCCAAAATATTCTAGAAGATATCGTTTAAGAAATAATACAAATCGATTCGCCTTGTCGAGAAGAATCGAATAAAATATTGATCACTTCTGTAAGTACTTTAAAATCCCCCAACTCCCATGTTTCCTATTATTCTCTTAGATGTCTCGAAAGTTGCGGAAAAATGTAGTCAGCTTCCCACCAGGGGATCGAAGTGTTAACACCTCGCACGCAAACGATGGACTGCAAGGAGTTTGATGGATGGACAGACGCAGGATACCCGATTTTTTGAAACTAGTGGTGCTAAAACAGTACGTACCTTCGCGCCCGTATTTTCCCGGAAAAAAGTACTCAACTTTTCGATAAATTGTACTTGACCTTATTTCAAAATCTATCTCTAAGGAACAGATTTCACTAAAGGAAAAATCTCAATCTTCATAATTGTAGTTAAGGAAGATACCGAAAACATTTTGAATTTTAGCAATTTTCGAAAAATCAAAAGTTTTAACGAACGTGAGATCTGCATCATTGTCTTAAACGTTCTTCACACATTCCAACAAAATTTAATTGAAATCAATCAAGCCATTTTTCTTTAATTTTGTTAATATTCCCAAGGTACCATTCGTATTTGTGTAAAGTATACCCCAAAATTAAAATATTGGTTTCAAATTCAAGAGGTCGAAACATAAGCAAATTCAAGAGATTAATTGGGCAGTATCAATTTTGGAAAAGATCTGCCGAACGGTTTTGCCGCTAGAGTTGATCACAGACGGACTGACGGACAGACGGACGAACGAACGACGGAGGCACGGACGGACGGATGAAAATTCGCCGTTTTTTCGCACAGTATTATAAGACTTTATCTCTACTGCGTAAGCTAAGTCGATATTAAATTTGTTTGCATAGACTGGTTGTTCACTGGTTCAAAAATGTAAGTACTGCAAAGAGGAACTACTTTCATATGTTTAAAACAAAGATAATTTATTACTTACGAATTTTTTGTATCAGAATTATACTCTGGACCGCAAAAGTCTACCTATTATGTTTAGAATGTTTATCAATTTATACCATTCTCTAAATAAATTGTTGAAAATATTTTTTTCACACTCAAGAAATTGAATACTTGACGGGAAAAATATTTTCAATAAAGAAAGTAATAATCCAATCATCTTAAGTATTCAGTATAAGAACAATACTAGATTCACTAACACATACACATAGGAAATAAGGGAACGTTTTTAATAAATCAATGTGTTTTGGTATTTTAATGTTTAAAATGGAAAAATGCATAAAAATATCATTTTGTACTTGTGATAAAATTCGTTAAAAAAAGAACAGTGACAGTGATAGAAAAGGGTTATGTTCTAAAAAATGACAAATCTTACACAGTTAATCCTTAATAACCTTAAGAACTGTCTCATGGTGTAGGAAATTTGTGGAACCATTTAGTAATGTAAAGATGTTTATTCCCGATAACCTAGGTAAACAAGTTCACAGTTCGTATAAACACGGTAGAAGATAGCGTAGTTAATATAGCACAAGATAATTTTCTTCTTTAGGGAGACGACTCTAAATCAAAACTCTGTGAATGAACAACGTTGACCAACAGCTAAGCACGACAGATTGTCAGAATATTATATATCGATTTTATACAGCGATAATATATATCGATTTTTTCAACCCACCATGGATCACCGAGTACTTCCAAGTGGCATGCAAGTCTCGACAAAGGTGAGTAGATGGGGTAAGCAGTTCTGAAACGAAATGCACTATTACACAGCGCGTGAGATTTTATATTGATTTTCTAGAAAAATTCATATATTACAAATAAAGAGAGATTACTATAAGAATAAACAGCCTTACAGCTACTACTTGGACACTTGTCAATATCACTGCAAGTTACAATTATGCACTCATTTTCTCGGGTGCGTTCGTTTACAGTTTATCATTTGCAAATGGTTTCATTACTATCTCTTGCAATGCCAACGCGCTAAACGACATTAATTTGTTTTCCAACCTGTCAAAATGGTCCTTTCTTAGAATAACTCCTTCATATAATCTATTCTCATGGATGCATTAACTCCGAGGGCTGTAAACAACTGTTTATTTCATGGTAAATCGAACAAGCCTTATTTATTTTCTAATAAAAATTTCCAGTTGAAATAATAAGTCATGATCATTACATATTCGAAGAGTATTCCTTGTGTATTATATATCATGAACTGTGTCATAATCGCATTTGTTTTCGCATCTAAAATAAAATGTTCATTTTATTAGATTTGTGCGATTTTTTTTCTCTTCTACAGAGGGCTGCCTCTCAAGATTTTGTGTTACGTTGTATTCATTGTATCTTTAGATGCAATTATGATAATGCTAAACGAATATACCAGTAATATTCTCGATTACCTCAGAGATATCATATAGAATCATCAATCAAATGTAGTTTTAGACAGCAAAATGCTTAAAAGATTTTTACGTCTTCTTGCACATATTTTTGATTTAGGGCTGCGGAAGTAATCTCTCAAATCAGGAAGTGCAGATGCATTTAATCAATTTCTCTTGTTGCATTTCAGCCCGGATTCCTTGCTTAACTTTGCTAATGCTTTTATATGAATATGTCCCGTTGACCTACCCCAAGTGCGACGAAAGGATAGAATAATTGCAAAGGTTCACACCCTTGTGTCCGCAAACGATGCCGCCTCCAATGATTTAATGTTGGGTGGCTCGTATCATTCAATCTGCACAAGGGTCGCAGCGGTGCACTCGAAGGCCGTCAACGAGGTGAAGTACTACTTCGCCGAAGAGGGGAGCGCGAAGAGATCATATAAGCGGCGGCTGCGCGGCGGCGGCGCGCCCAGAAGCTTCTGTGTCGCCCCGGCGCGCCGACACGC